TTTTTTTGCTGTCTAGTCCGATATTACCGGACAGGTTTGTTCTGGATATGCTAATATATAGCCACAATACATCCATTGGCTTTAGGGCAAGTTCACGCAATGTTTTTCGTTCAGGACATAAATCTTCGCATTATTCCTAACAGCGGAACATTATATATGTGTAACTGAAGTGCGAACGCAATTAGACCAAAAATATGAAATGCTCCCAAGGGTTCCTCAACGCTTAAGATGCATCATATGTGGAACAAAGTTTGTAACCGTTTTTGCGCTTCAAATTTCAAAAAAAGTATCTGTTTATAGAAACCTATCGAGTGTTGCTAAGGTTTTCGCAAATCACCCCCTTGTTCAATGAAAATGCATGAGCAGCGAAAATCTTATGACAGCTCATCCAGAAATGGTTTAATGCAGTAGTAAATCAAGAAACCAAAAGTTTTAGCATGATTGTAATGCTAGGCAGACTAAAAATAAGGCAAATGCCTTAAATTTTTACCTTTGGAAGACTCGCATTTGTGCTTGTCATCAATGTGGTCATTGTCAACACCGTGGTGACACCTAAAAATGAGAACAAATAGCTTATTTGAGGTAAGATCGAGGCTTTAAGTCATTTAGGTAATCTACCCTGGTAATATATTTTCAAGATACTTCTCTGTTGACTTAGATCTAGTATTAGACTAATTTTTTTTTGTAGAACCAGCAGACTCTAATGATATCAGAATGATATCTTAGCACATGAGTTGGTAAAAATATCCTCTTAGTGCAGCAGTTATATAACAAAATCTCTTTAAATTCCTATCTTAAAGCTCTTTGACACCAGAGCAGTCAAGTTTAGTAGCGACTACATCAAGGCATTTGCTACGGAATTACTTCTCCCTTGTGGATTCATTTTTGCACTATGAAGTTCCACAACCATAAAGTGGTTTATAGTTCTTCCGCAAGGCTAGTGCTTCCTGTTAGAATTCGAGAATTTTGCTCAAAAGATACAAACCTAGACGAATTTCATCTAATAAGAAGTCTTGATTTTTTTATGCAGAAAAAACAATAAAACTTGCAGAAAAAAGGAAACTTTTTTCGGGTCATAAACGTATATCCGCTACTAAAAAAGCATGGCTAATCAATGAGAAATGATTAACTAACATAGCTCCGACATAACTAAACTCAAATATTTTCCTGGAATATTTCTAGGCGATGCTACAATTTATCTCAAGTAACCTACCGATAGCAACTCTGGCTTGTACAGCTTCCCTGTTGAGCCAAAAGGATACCCATGAAATGACAACGATAAGCGATGATGGGAAGTAGATCTGGATGAGGTAGAAGCCGAGGTTACGTTTGAATGTGAAGTAGGCACTGAGGCGGGAATAGTTCCCTGAAACATATGTCTCACAAAAAAACATTCTTAAATAAACTTCAAAGAAGTCTCAGAAAATTGCAAAATTTTTATTGTTTTGCTGCTCAGACCAAAAAATATGTAATCACAAATAATTTTAATCCATTGAGGAGACCAATCGCAGATTACGCTTGGTTAGATTGAATATAAGCAATTCAAACTGTAGCAAAAATTTTCGACTTACATTCTGGTATGGCGTCTAGACCTATCTTCTGAGCTATTTCGAAACTAAATAGCTATAATTTAGTGTATTGATCGCTTCACTTAATT